AATATAACCTACCCAAACTAGGAAGTGCATCTCCTAGGGGTGAAACTTCAATGATTCAAACTAGGAAGTGCGTCTCCTAGGGGTGAATTTAAATAACCAAGGCTAGGAATGTGTCTCCTAGGGATAAACTTAAATGACCCAAAACTAGAAAGTGCGTCTCCTAAGGCTGAAACTCAATTTAGGAAGTGCGTCTCCTAAAATATAACCTACCCAAACTAGGAAGTGCGTCTCCTAGGGGTGAAACTTCAATGATTCAAACTAGGAAGTGCGTCTCCTAGGGGTGAATTTAAATGACCAAGGCTAGGAAATGCGTCTCCTAGGGATAAACTTAAATGACCCAAAACTAGGAAGTGCGTCTCCTAGGGGTGAAACTCAATTTAGGAAGTGTGTCTCCTAAAACAAAAATGTAACCTACCCAAACTAGGAAGTGCGTCTCCTAGGGGTGAAACTTCAAAGATTCAAACTAGGAAATGCTTTTCCTGTGAATGAACTCTTAATTTCTGAAAGATCCAAACTAGGAAGTGCGTCTCCTAGGGGTAAACTCTTAATTTAGGAAGTGCGTCTCCTAAACATATAACCTGAAAAACCTAGACTAGGAAGTGCGTCTCCTAGAGGTAAACTCTTAATTTAGGAAGTGCATCTCCTGAAAAACCTAGACTAGGAAGTGCGTCTCCTAAGGGTAAAATCTCAATTTAGGAAGTGCGTCTCCTACAACAAAATATAACTTGAAAACCCCGACTAGGAAGTGTTTCTCCTAGGGGTGATGTGTGATCTTTTCAATAGCCTTTGCGTAAGCAGAATTGGGGCATTACACCTGAAAATTTCAAGCTTCCCAGCTTTGGTATGAACATAGCTTCCATCCCTGTTTCAGACAAAGAAAACTTGTGAGTTTAAACATGGTGGTTGGTTTGTGCAAGTTTGAAGATCTGAAAATTCGAATTTCAAATTGAAAAACCAAAAAAATTGAAATCTGATAGGAGCAAGTTCATTCTAAACCATAGGCATTCTGAAAAATCAAAAATGGCATAAAATCCCACAAAAATATTGTTCTATTAGTTTTCTCCTAAGTTCTTCATCTTCAATATAATTTGTGAGCATTAGGGTATAAAGTGAGTCGAATTCGGGGTTTGAAATCAAATTTGGGGTCAATTTTCCTGCTGGTGGTTAACTGGGTTTGATTGGAGCTTTGGATATCATTCTATTGGTTTTCAAAAGCAATTTTCATTCCATCTCCCTGCTGTTGGTTGCCATTTGCTGTTGCTGACTTCATCTCCTTCTTCTTGTGTTTAAATTTCCAGGTACACATCTTGTAGATCTCAAGTATTGGAACTGAAATAAAAATGCTGCTCATTTGTTTCCTTGTTTAATTTCATTATTGTGTCTTAGCTAGATTCATAAGCCTACTATATTTTCCTGTAAACAGTTAAGGATTGCTCAGAATTGAGATGTGTAATTACACACTGGAAATCAGCTTGTAATTGTTTATATTGGGCTGCTTGGACATAAACACTTTAGACTCTGTGTATATTTAGATCCTTAGGCATACGTTAGAATTATGTTTAATGAAGTTTTGCACATGGCTTAGCTCATATTAAGATTCGACAGCTTATTAGAATAGGTGTTGCATTGGTAGTATGTTTAAATTCATATGTGATATCAATGTATGGTAGATAGGGTTGAGTATGTTTTCTTCGGCATAAACTCCAGGATATAAATATACATGTCTCCTAATGATTTTTTTTATTCATGGATGTATGGTTGGAATGAATAAATTGATTTGTTTCAACTCCCTAAAAATAATCATCTACCGCTATAGTATAAGATTCAGACTCCAAAGTTTCATTCATCACCATTGGGCCTCAAACAAAATTGCCCAGATGCTGCATGCTAAACCGGCCAAAGGCCCAGCTACAAGAGTTAGCTTCACAGCTGAAACTCTAATATTAGGTAGGGATTTCGTTTCAGGCCTTGTTTCAATTTGGCCTGCGCAAAGACCCACAACTGGGCATTGCTTTACAAAAACTGACCTAAAGTGTTTATGCCAATTTCAAGGCCCAATATGCTGAAGGCTCGAATTCACATTAAGGTCAGGAGATTATTTGTGCAACGTAAGTTTTGGGCCTTCTAGTTAAGTAGCATACTTGAATTAAGAGGTTTTCCTCTTGTTCAAGTGTGGACTTGAACTTGAGGCCCAAATTCCTTGTATACTTTTAATAATAGCAATTAATAATGTTAATTAATTAGGGCCCTTTTAGAGACAATCCATACTAGAAAACAATAGTCCCTTTTAGGACGGCCTTTAAAAAAATAAATGAGTGCGCCAACGCCAAATAAAATTCATAAATTGCGTGGCCCCCTTTAAATGCCTATGCTAAAATACTTAGAATTCGGGACGTGTCGTTTAGCGAATTTCATGGCCTCCCGCAAAGATAATAACACGTTAGTCGCTTTAGGCGCGCTTTTTAATTATTTTACCTTCCTAAATACGGGTGTGCATTTCATGCGACCCAAATCCAAATCCCAAAACGTTGAATAAAATGTGTCGAGGATCCGGGTGCATTTCATGTGACGTGATCCGAAAATATATTTTAAACGATGTTCACTTTCTTAAAATTTTTTAATTGAAAGCGCTGAATAATTATAAAATTGCACAATAGGATAACATGTATTAAAATCAGACCTTTGCCAAATATAGCAGTTGAGCGACCGTGCTAGAACCACGGAACTCGGGAGTGCCTAACCCCTTCTCCCGGGTTAACAGAATTCCTTACCTGGATTTCTGGTTCGCGACTGTTAAACAGAGTCAAACCCTTTCCTCGATTCGGGATTCGAACCGGTGACTTGGGACACCATAAATCTCCCAAGTGGCGACTCTGAATTTCTTAATAAAATGAATCCCGTTTTGATTGTCCTTTAATTTGAAAAAACTCCTTTTATTATACCCTTCACGGGGTGTAGTAGGAAAAAGGAGGTGTGACAGTGGTGTCAACTTCTTTTATATATACAGATTCTTTTTCAACAAAAAAGGTATTCACACACACTTATATAAGACACCTCAATTGGCCCCTTTATCATTTAAACACTTCAAGTGAATGTTAAGTAAATCAAATAGACATCCGAGTGCAGCAGAGCAGATGCGTGTAACACACTTGCCAATGACATGTCAAATGACCCAATCAATGAACGCCACGTGTAATTTGTAATTAAAATTAACACATATAATTAACCAAAAAAAAATTAAGAATGAAAAAGGCAAAGCAACGCCCTTACCCCCCCCCCCCCACCCCCACCCCCAACTTCATCTTCTTCCTTCCATATTCCACCAAAACCAGCGCCACCTCCATTTTCAATTTCTTCTTCATTCTGTTTCTGGAATTTAATTTCAGCATAGAATATCTTCCAGAAGTACTCTTTCTATTTTTCTTTCTTTCTCTCTGTGAAATCAACAATTCCATTCGATCCCCGCGCTTCCTTCTCTCTACACAATCAAACCTTAAAGCTTATTAATTCAACTCTTCGATTCGACTCGGAGCTTTGACTCAACTCTGCTTTTCGATCTCTCAACTCAGCTCTCTCCCAATTTCAACTGGTATGTTCTTCACATTCTAAACCCTAACTTTCAGTTTTTTTTCTTTGATATAATCTTTTAATTTTAATTCAATCACAACTTACGTACTGTTCTTTCAAAACACTACATTCTGTTTTTGTTCTTAATTTGATGGATTTACGTTGATTCTTCGATATTTTAATGTTTTTTTTTGTTGTTTGTGGATTTCTAAGGTTTTTTCACCCGCGGTGATTGGAATTGTGCAAGTTGAAAATTGGAGGAGAATGGTTGAAAATTAGATGGGTTCCATATTATTTTTAGGAAAAAAAAAAGAAAAAATCTAATTTTAGGTAGGCAACTCGCGTCCCAGAGAGTGTATTTCACGCGATGGAGGCTGACATGGTCGGGTATTTAGTTGATCTTCTTTTCTGAATAAATAAAGTGTCTAGTTGGAAATGACCTCAGTTGAGGTGTCTGGCTGACCGTTGTGGACAACTTGGAGGGGCGCTTTATGTATTTCGCCCTTTCTTTTTGTATGCGAAAAGATGACACCATCTTCTTCTTTAAAAGGGATATCTAATACGACACTGTAAAAATATATTATTAATAGATGACAATGAGATTCAAACTCAAAACGTAGTCAATAGTATTACTACTATGTTACATCGTACGAGACATGTCATCTAAGAGTTTAAATTTTTAAGTCGGGCAATAAATTCATGTAGACAAACTCTAGTCAAGGGAGAAAAATGCTAGAAGTAGAACAAATTAGTCCCAACCCGGAGATGGATTATAATTAAGCTAAGACGTATTGTGCAAAATGAGATAAATTGAGGGACCATATAAATTGAATTTGTTAGTGTGGAAAAATAGGCTAGGCTTATTTCACCTGACTATGGCATATAAACAACCTGTTAATTGGTCCTGCTTATCATTTTTTAAAGGTTCACTCCATTTATATTCAAACACTAAATTTCTTCCTTAAGTTATCGGAAAAGATCACTTTTAGCCTGCGTGATGTTATTTATATTAATATCCGTTAGCTGAAAAGTGTATAAAATTAGTATATTTTTTGTATATATATATATAATTATAATTTCGGCTATTATATTAAGAATAACTATACAATGTCATTTATACTAAGTTATTTTCAGAGAATTTCATATGTGGGCTTGGGAGTCAACTTGGACTTTTCTCTACTGCAGAAATTAGGCTTATTAGGAATTTGTATTCAAGAAATTCAACTTGTAAAAATGGGATCGTTATTCTGTCATTTAATGATGCCATTTTGCACCCAATAATAGAATTGTTTTCTATGATTATGAGATTTATTTTTCTAACTTGATGGCTGAGGGATAAAAATGACTCAGAGGCTCCTGTACAAGAAGCCAAAATTAGTCAATGTCATTGCTAAATAGCTCTAAACTGTTGTAGACAATGAACAAAACCGACATATTCGAAATCATCACATAAATTCAAATTTATCACACTCGTGTGGAAATATGTTTGCAGGACTAACTAGAACATTGTTAATAGAGAGACATACACCAGGAGACGAAAGAATATAAATGGAGATTTCTCTGAAAAAATATCTCTCTTTCTAATATTACCACCCAATAGATATAAAGTTTCACTAGTAATCTTTCTTCCAATCTTGACCACCTCCTCTTTCGACGACTCAAGCAATTTTACACTCTCATCGAGCCTTTGCCGTTTCTTTGCAATTTCGGGCGCTTCTTTTATCTCATTACTTGTCGTTAGATAATTAGCGATATACTCTTCCATCTCATTGTCAATAACCATTTTTCGAACAGCAGATATCATATGCAACGCCATTAAATCCACCTGCCTCGTCGAAAATATCTTCCAGTGTGCACTCGTCTTCATCTTCAAATCAAAAGCTAGTCGCGCTACATCTAAGTGATTTCTCAAATGTTCAACATCAACTTCTCCAATTCCTTCGATGTTTATTATCGAGTGATTTTTGTTCATAGTATCCATAAATGTTGTTTCTTGAGCTAGGAGTCTATTGCAACTATCTACATAACATGGATTAATGCAAGTGTAACCTATAGCCAGTTTTTCCATCCCAATAATTTCTCGTACCCAATTAATCGATTCATCATTCTTTTTGGCAATCAGGTTTTGCACAACTCTTCTAGTGGAATCTTGAAGTTGCGGGTGACTATCAAAATGATGCATCAAAACATCGATGATAACTCCTTCTACGCAGTTCCACATTTTGCACACAAACTCTTCTGTCATTTTTGAAATCCCATCGACTTTTTCGTGCAGAAAAGTGAGGAAATCAATTGAAAGTCCACTCACCATTCTGTCCTTCCATCAAGAAGTCTTCTTTCTTTTCAAGATTCTTTGAATGTAACTGAACAGAATACTGGTCAAGCATTGTCTGCAATGACTTCTTATACATAGTACTATCCTCGTTGTTATCATCGAACTGATTCCCTCCTGGAAGAATTGTCAGCAATGACTTCTTAGCTGAAGTCACATATTGCATGACTGCTTTCAGTGCTTCAGCGACTGTGCTGAAGCACTGACTTGGTAACTTTTTGAGTTCAGTGACATTCGCGTTAAGCCTATCCTTGATTTTCCTTTGGATATCTGTTGAAGTAATCTTCACTTGAATTATCATCAATTTACGAGCTAAAACTGGAATGCTAACCATAGACTTGTTAATCTTGGATAGAAATTCATTCGTTTCAAAAAGCGTAGCCTCTATAATCTCGGATTCTTTAAAAGACTCCAAGTCAATGTTATTCCTGACACAGACATAATTAAGTCCCATCGCAGTAACTTTATCAAGTACTAGCTCATTAAGGAACTTATGAGGAGCATTATCAGCGTTGGTCACAACTACTAGAGTTCTTTCACATTTCTTGTCGACTTTATCAGATATATTCATTGACTCAAATGTTTTAGGCAATGAATCAGTATTGGCTGATAATACATTCAAGATAATCCTGTCCTCGGGGGTTATATAATTCAAAATCATCTGGTGTATTCGCTCATATATCTCTTTATTAGCTTCGTCTAAGGTAGGAATCCCTGGCAAATCCACAATTGTAAGATTAGGAAAACCTTTCTTTTTCAGGATCAGAGTCAAAGGGTTGTTAGATATTCCATTTGTTGAGCCAGCAATTGTGTTTGTCGCCCGACTTATTTCTAAGGCTACACACCACTCATCATCATCATCGGTACTACTTCTCAGTGTCCTCGTTTTCCCATCAAACTCGAGGGAAAACTCAAGTTTACAACTATGATGATTTTGAAGCTTAATAAGGACAGGAACTCGAGTGCAGAAGCATCCTTTTAACGAAATTATTCCTATAAGGGATGCAATAAGGCTAGATTTACCTGAACATCTGTCACCAACTAGAACAATTGTAGGAACTGGAGGGGGTTGGATACATTGTTGCATCACGTTTAAGCTTCGTCGTAAATTATCCACACAGTCGAAGAGCGGGGGCAGGATTGTTTCATCGTTATATGATGACACAATAGGTGGCACATAATCGTCTTCTGGGTGTGAATTGCTTTTCTTTTCACTAATGTCCATTGCTTGTTCTCTGTTCAACAATAAACATATGCATGAAATCAGTATCGACAGTGGCGGAATCAGGAATTTATACAAGGACATTCCAACAAATAAGATAGAATGTAACGTTTAGGATTTAAACCCGTGAATTAAAACAATTTATGAGTACTTTTTGCCACATTATTAGACTTTTTTTCGTATATCAAAAGGATTCAACATTTTATATAAAAGAATTCGTTTTTATCCTATTATAATTTTTTAACAAACGAAGGTGATTCAATTGAACATTCTTTTCTCGATTTAGCTCCGACTTTGAGTGGTTTAATAAGGAATTCTAACAAGGGAATTCAAATTCGAACCTATGAACAAGGGTAATTTTTGAATCATCTTTTCTTATGCTAAGGACATTCAACAATGCATATATACGCTAAAAATTTCATCCATTTTCCTTTAAAAAAAAAACTTACATTTGATTACTTCTCACGTAACAAAACAATCTTCATCTATGGTAAATATGATTAATTAAAAAAGGGTTATAGTAAAACGAAAGAAGCTGAATTTAATTAATGTTCATTACCTCAAAAATTTAAAGCGGATGTCTGGGACGACACACCCTAGCCTTCTGCCTTCTTAATTTCTACCTTTTTCACAAGATGTTTTCGCCTTTATATGACTCATAAAAACTCTATAATTCCTCATGGTTTTGATTTACTAATTTTTTTTTTCGTTTTTTCTTTTCTTTTCCTGTAGTCTTGTTTGACCTATTCAAGCGACGAGGTTGTTAGTTTAGATTTATCTTTAGACACACAAGTATTATCCGGACGTTGTTATTTGTTGTAAGTTGTAACAAGTATCTTGTGACAAAGGGTGTCATCTTTTATATATATATATATATATATATATATATATATATATATATATATATATATATATATATATATACACATACTTGGAGCAAGTAGATTTACCCATGATTTTGCCTTATTATCAAGATGAAAAAAATAACTTTTTGTTATGAAATACTTGATTATGGTGGATGTCCATAACTCCTAAGGGAGTAACACCCACTACTCTTCTCCATTAACCTCCCACTACTTCTTACCACTATAGATGTAACTCCCACACCTCCATGATCTTCCCCCATGTTCTCAATAGTTAATACCATGTTTATGGAGTCCCTTTGTATTACCTATATCATCCTATAAATAGAGGGTTTGGGCATCACATTGTATACACTTGAACACTTGATGAAATAAGAAAGTTATCTCTTCTTCTCTTATTCTACTTATCTTCTTGTTTTATATTGTTACTTTGAGCTACATTTCTTAACACGTTATCAGCACGAGTCTCTAATCAAGATTTGAGTTTGGTTCTTCTTCCGCCCATGTTCTGATTAGTCTCATTACGAGAATCAGAAAAGAATAACTACTATAACTAGTAAGTACAAAAACAGGTAAGTGTGAGGTTGGACTTGAAAGAGAGTCTGCTATGCTCCAGGTTTACTGCTCCATTACTTATGTTGTGTTTTTAAGTCTTTTGAGTTAACAATTTAACTTCCCAATAATTTTCATTCTTGACCTTGTCTAAATTATTAAAGTTTAGAAAACCGAATAGGTAATTGAATTTTTTTCAGTATGAGTTCGTGTCAGTTACATGAATTCTTGGGGTTATGGCTTATGTTATGCTAGTAATAGTTCCTCCACTGCATCTAGTATTTTGATTACAAAGAAAAGGAAATCGGTAATTATAATTTTAATAAATATTTGACCCACCACTCAATGGCCCCTATAATTGTGTGCACTTTTACTTGTAAGTGGCCTGGCCTGATAACTTTGAGCTAACTGGATAATATAAAAAGTGATTATTCTGAGGTTATATTTGTGTGCTTATTTTTTGTTGTTAGTGATATTGATAATAGTAACAAAGTTTGAGTTATTAGTACCGTTGAAATTTTTCTCACACTTTTGAAGTAATCATGAATTGTATAACTTACATATTGTTGTTATTTTTTTAATATAATATACTGTGAACTAAATTTTTTCAGAGTCTGTAAGAAATAGTTGATCTCATTTGTATCTTAAAAAAGTCAAAATTACATGCGATGAGTTCATAAATTGATGAAGTACTAATGTTTATAAAATTATTATAACAGAATGGTTTTATGTATAACCATTATATGTGGCCCTGTGGGTAAGTGATTTAGAGTACCGAGGATGAGCCTCAATTGTATTTTGGTCTATTATGCTATTGATTGAGGATAAGACGGTGGGTTCAAGTCTCATCGTACCTTGAGGGTAAGACACTGGGTTTAAGTCCTAGTGCACCATGATAATAAGTAGTTGAGTTCGAGTCCCGATGCATTATGTCCTAACATGCCTTTATATGGATAAGGCATTGGATTTGAGTCCCAATGCACCATATTGATGATATAATGATGACTAAAGAAAAATAATATATTTTTCATGGAAAAGCATGAATCTTGTCCCACTTAATTTGCACCATTCTTGAAGTGAATGTGGTAGCAATGCATAATAAGTAAATGAAGACAAGTGGTTGACCAATGAACATGAGCGTGCCATTGATCAAATAATAATAGTCATCATTTTGGTAATTGTAAAAATTAGAACAATAAGGGTTCTCGAAGTAATCCTTCAATAGGTGAAGGAAATATTTACCATCAAATTGGTATGAAAAATTTATAAAGCACGTCGTGATAATTATACTCCATTCTTTGAAGAGAATGTGACTTGTGCATTGAGAATGCAGATTCATTCCTGAAGGTGAATGTAACAATATGTGATAAAAGTAATGAATAAAGACGTGCAATGCATGATTGGATACACACCACAACTCACCTCTAAGGGAGGTTTGAGAGAAAGAGAGATAATGAATATTAGTATGTGATTACATGAATATGTCATTGGTCGCGTACATGTGGTACGCCAAAAATAACTTGACATGCCTTATAAAAAGTTATTAAAGGCAAAAGTAAAGCAAGAAATGATTTTGCTTATGATGATTTTGACCATGACAATTATTATGATATAATTTTCTCCGTGAAGGAGACATTCACCATATGGATGGTGTGACAAAAGATATTATAGTACAAAATCAATTAAGAGCTCCGGAAGAGCTAATTTGTTACTACCCGGATGAATGAAATTGTTCATGACATTGATATTGTAGTAAGTCTCAAACGGAATTTTTGAGTTTCAAATATATTAGCCAAAATGGTTGGCATATTGAGACTATAAATGAAAGGAAGATTGAATATTTTCATATTACTATAATCATACCGGGTAAATATAAAAGGTTACCCGATTTTTTTTTTATTTGTACTACAGATGTATAAGCATGATGATAGAATCACATGCCACAAGTAAACTAGAGGTTTATTGAAACAAATATTAGTTGGCATGACCGGTTGACCATCCTGGTTCAATTATGATGTGAAAATTGATTGAGAATTCACATTGGCATATATTGAAGAAATAGAAGATTCTTCAAGAATTTTCTTGTGCTGCATATTCTCATGATATACCAGTTAATGTTGGGATTGAATCCCTTAAGATCTGGAACGAATAAAAGGTGATATATATATATGGGCCCAATCACCTGCCATGTGGACCGTTTACTATTATATAATTTTAATAGATGCATCTATTGTATGGTCATATGTGCGTTTGTTGTCAACTTGCAGTTTGGTTTTTTCAAGGTTGTTTGCTCAAATTATTAGAGCAGAGTCCAGAATATAAATTTATCTTGATAATGCTGGTTTAAATCCAAGTTGGTTTAGCAGAGATTGTATGCCTCCAATTATAGCTAAACCATTGGTTATGAGAACAAAACTCCAAATAGAAATTTTGTATTAAGTATATTATTTAATATACAACAGCACTTGTACGCATCTAGCCAACAAGTTATGATAAATTCTCCCCATCACAATTGGTTCAGGGTCAGGAACCAAATATT